TCTGATATCAGCATAATTTCTATTTTGTACAATGGCACTAGGGGTCCTTTGATAGAAGGTTTTCAAAGTGTACCCTTGGCCACGTTCAAAACAATGGTAACAGAAGTACCTATCACCATGATCAATTTAGTGGACGTATCCAAGTAGTACACACACACCACCACACACACACACACACACACACACATGTACGTGAATATTTGTTGCATTCATATGTATAAAGCAGCTTTTTATTTCTTTGATCATCCTTGATGGTATCTCCACATCTCTACAAAAAATTCACTTTGTTTAGACTGATCCTTACTTGATGTGATTGTAGTGCCATCTTGGTTTTTAAATGGGGATGGGGATAATTGTTTCCCAAGTGTCTGGGAAAATTTGAATTCTTACTCTTAAATTGGTCAAGTAATGCTGAGTTTGGTCAACTAAGACAGTAAAGTAGGTTAACCAAAACATTATTCAGCTGGGTAGATTCCCTTTGTCTGCCTTGAACAGAGCACTTGAAATGCAGTGTGATCTGTTTTAATGAAGAATATTCATGTTGGTCTTAAACTGCCACCCGAAAAGCTTTCATTATAACATGTGGCATCTGCTTTGATTAGCCCTTTGGTTTTCTTTTGTCTCATGACATGCACCACTCTGTTGACACAAAAAGCAAACCTAGATGCAAGCCACCTATGAGGGTGTGTGTGGCTTTGCACTAAGAGGGAAAGTTTGGTTTCTGTGGATTCAGGGTCAGGACAACCTATGTCCTAGGCTGGGCACCATTTTAACCAAAGCTTTTGTGGCTCTGGGAAACATTCAAGAAAGCATGGTTCTGGTCCTGACTTTTGCCACTGGCCAGCTGTGTGACCTTGGAACATCAGTGGACCCTTTGGGCCTCAGTGTCTTATCTACAAGAGGAAGAGTTAGATGGGGTGAACTTTAATGCCTTCCAGCTCTTAAATTCATTGATTCTGTGAAGGCCATGAGTCTTTCTGACACTAAAACCACATTATCACCAGAGATCAAAGGATGGGAAACTAAGCGCAAATAAAGGTCAAATAACACATTTAAAGGCAAGTGCTTCAGAAACATTAGCGCTCAGGGAGAAGCTCAGGTTGACCGTAGCACCTCAGAATTCTTCTTTAAAATGGGCTGAGACAATTCAAACATTGCTGTTATGCCAGGCCAGTGTCAGCAGCACTAGTGGGTCAGGATTTTTGTTCACAGCTGGCGCATGTTGCCACCATCACTGGGTCCACCTCTCATGTGCTTTATGTCAGTAGGTTTCTCTGTTGAGAATGCAGCCAGACACCAATACTAAGAACCCCCCCAAAAAAAGCTTCATCATCCTGAAGGATAGATTTAAACTTCTGTCCTGTTATATGCAAATCGTATTTGCATATAACATCATCCCATGTACTTTAAATCACCTAATACAATGTAAGTGCTATGTAAATAGTTGCCAGCGCATGGAAAATTCAATTCTTGCTTTTGGGAGCTTTTTGGAAATTTTTTTTCCTGAATATTTTTGAGCCCAGATTGGATGACCCTAGAATGCAGTCCGGAGGAATTGGAGGGTGCACTGTGTAGTTCTTTGCCGGATAGTACGTCAGGCACTCCTTCAAAGATCGCTTTGACCTCCAGAAATAAAGAAAAGGGTTAAGCGCTTGCTTTTACTGTGCGCTTATTGTGTGCTAGGCACTCCTGTCAGTATTTAACGTATCTTAGTTTACTTTATCATTACCACAACTTTATTGAGTAAATTCTATTACTGTCCATTTTATGCACTAGTGAACTGAGGCCGTGCACCCTGGCATCTCGCGCCCAAGCCCAGGGCCCTAAACATCATACCACTTCCCTTCTAAATAGGAGGCCTCTTAGTCACAGGCCCACAGAGAGTCTGACAAAAAAGAAGGCAAATAAACTGTAAAAAAAAAAAAAGGATAACTTGAAAAACAGAAATTTAAAGTCTTTCGGGAAAATAAAAATGTTTATTCATCTACTTATTTGTTTCCTAAATGCTTCTGTAGCACATACTCTGCGCCAGACACTGTTCTCCTTACTTTACAAATCTTTATAGCTCATTCTGTCTCTTAACCCTACGAGGTAGGGAGCTTAATTATACCCATTCTGGAAACAGAGAGGCTCATGGGCTCGCCCAGGTCCCACAGGTAGGAACGAGCAGAGCCAGGGTTTAGAACTGGGCGGACCTGCTCCAGCGTCCGTGCTTTTGCGGGCTGTGCTGGATTACACTATGTCCCAATAATGGAGGCTCGTTCATTCAGCAATATTATTATTGCTGCAAGGCAATATTAAATATGCATGACTAATAAGTTTCAAGAAAAGATTAAACTTATTTTGGTATATTTGGCTAAGAAAGCGAGATCCCCTGTATGTTTTAGAAGGATTCTCATTGAAATTAGTTGAATTTTCTGGTGGTTGTTTTCTTGTTTATAGTGTCAAATCCCAACTGTTTGAAAAAAACTCCACCTCATTACTCTCAGATTTACAAAGAAACTTGATTGGAGTTTTCACTGTATTTAAGATGAAAATAAAGTTGTGTTGAAATGAGCTACCATATTCACTTTCTAAATACATGAGAGTACCACGGGAGAAAGAGACTGTAATTTAATTTATGAAAAGTATATAAATATAATTTCTTTCTAGATCAAGAAATAAGGTATTGTCTGTAATTGTCTTACATAATCTCCTCCATCTTCAAGCAGAATAAATAAAATATTCAGCAGAAATAGAATTCTTTGAGATTGAATACAAGTACTGTAATGGGCATTTGATGTATCTTGTGTCTAAATTGTCAACTGTGCTTTTCCTGTTATTTCCTGTTGGTATTATTGATGAGCAGACTATTTGCTTAGCATTAACATTAGTTTTAGAAAATAGGCCTAAATAAAGTAGAAAACCAAAGTACTGCAGCCATTAGTCATTCAACAGGACGGTTTTCTCTAAAGGATATAGCCCTTTCACTTGTTTTTAAAGGAAGGGCGCGCTGGGTGCACAGATCTCTCTGAACCTGCTTTCAGGCTGTGCTGATGTCGAGCGACATCCTTTGACGCCCCAGTGCTTTCCAGGTTCGCCTTCCCCACTTAAAGTTATATATTGTACAGCAGGATCCCAATTAGCAGAAATCAGTGAAGAGGAAAACATGATATTAGCCGGAGAATATTATTTAAATTGCAGATTGTGATAAAACACATGAAAACAGAGTTGCTCCATCTCATAAAAGAAACCTGAGGTTCAAGAAGTGGTAGAAAATGTAGGATTGGGAGCTGTAGGGGGAGCGATGAGGGACTGTGTTTGAAATGAGAACTGCTGTTTCTGGGGTTGGGGAGGAAGATCATATTCTGAACTTAAATATGGCATATGGCTTCTTTCTGCAGCTCTGGGGTGGACTCAGCAGTGTATTTTCCAGATCAGCACATCAACTTTAGATCTGTGACACCAGCCAGGCAGCCTGAATCAATGAATCTGAAAGCCTCAAAGAGCATGGACCTTGGTAAGTGAGGGTGAGGTGACATCCAGGTCAGCTCTCCAGCCTCCGCCCATCTGTCTTCCTGAGTGTCCTGTCTTTGCTTCTTCAACTCCAGCCTTAGGGGGCCAGGTCCGCTAAAGTCTGGAGGAGGGGAGATGCTCATCCTCTCTTCCTATCTCCTCTCACACGTTGAATTGTAATTACCCCTTTTTAAAAGAGAGATAAATGACATTTTTGTAAAGTGGTCTGCATAGGTCAGGGAAATGTGAGTATTCCTTCCGGAGAATCTGAATGCCGTAAGCATCTTTAACTCATTGCCTCTCACGTCTGCCGGTTCCTTTCCACTTCTCGTTGTCCGTACCTATTGCAGGGCCTGGGAAAGTGATGTGATTAAATGAATCCTCTTCCATGGGACGCCCTGTCTCTATGTGCAGTGAATAGGGAGGGCAGCAGTGGAGAAGATTTATCACTTTAAATGCCCGTCTCCAAATCCTGTAACACCATATAGGGGGCCTGGGTTTACCAGATTAAGGGTAACAAGGTACCCAGGGTTCATGCCTGGACAACCTCATCGAAGTTCTGAGTCCCTCAAGGAATTCCTGGGTAACCGTTGGCTGCCAGGGCCTCTCCAGACTGTGGGCCCCAGGCCCTGAAATGTGAGACCCTGGAAGACATCTCAGATACCAAAGCACGTCGCTGTCCTCCCAAGGACTCAGAGGGAGAGAGCTGTTAGAGTACAGTGCTGGTGCAAACTAAATTCTCAGCAAAATATTCATTGCTTCCGGAATGCTCAGTGGCCAAAACTTGCAATTTTTTTTTCCTTGAGGCACATTACATATTTCATTAGTAGCAACAAGAAAATAGAATAATCAAAACTGCATGTTCCACAAAACAATCTGATAAATAGTGCTTATCTGTTACTCATTTACAGGAATTCAAAAAAGTGTTCCATCCTGATGAAACAAGAGAAATTGATTCTATTTTCTATAAATTAACTAGATCACTGGGGTACATTTGCTCTAATCACCTACAGTGAGAGACTGATAGAAAGCCTTAACAAGGAAGCTGTCTGTAGCACTGGTCAGAACATGGTATTTTCTCAAGCATGAGCTTCGGACAGACCAAAGGAATAATGTGTGACAGTGATACAGGTGATTACTAATAATTTAAGGAGCAATTTATTTTTATAGAGTGCTTGATAAATATTTCCTGTTCTGTCTTCCCAGTTTCTCTATAAAGAAGATGAATGGATAAAAACTGCTCTTCATTTGGGGCAAGAAATATATTACTGTTTTCCTCATTTAGTTTAAAAAAAAAAAAACAGTGGCCAAGGTTTTAAAAATCTCTGCAAAAGAAAATAAAATAGCATCCATTTTAAGAGAGGAAAAATGATCACATCCATAAAAATAAAACCTAAGGCATGTCCAGAAACAGAATTTCTGTTTATATTTTTTGATTACTGAAAACTTTGTTTTTGAGTTTCCTTTTTTAGATGGAAATAGCCCTTGCAAAATATATATAGTTGGCAGTCACCCGTTGCACTTTATTGTACTTATGCTGTAAATGACAATAGTAAGTTTGTTCAGTGTAATTAACTAGGCAAAGGTCATGAGCTATTTTCTTCAGGACACAGGTATCTAACTAAAAAAATACTGGCTGAAATGCACCATACAGCACAAGTGGTAAAATGCGCTACAAAAACATTTTTAAAGTAACTGTCAAAGTTTGGTCCCTTCCAGGAAGTGCCAAATTAAAGCTAACAGTCTTGTAGAGGGCTCTTAGGGTCAACCTTCTAGAAACATTCTGAACCTCTATTCCCAGAACAATGAGTGAGCTCAGTAAATATGTTGATTTTCTCAGTGAGTAAACTCAGATGATGCCAGAATGGTAAACATTTGGAAGTGTCTTTCCTGTTTGATTAGATGAAAAGAATATTGGAAGTGGGTTAGCTTCCCACATATATACACTGGGCCAGTGTAAAGAATTAATGTATTTTACAAAAAGGTTGGGGACTGTGCTTATAGGAATAATCCTCTCAGCAGGGTCAAGATGCATTCTTCAAAACGTAAAGAAAAAAAAATCCCGAGGTATTTAGGCTGAATAGCAAATTAGTGCTATTTGACTATTTTTGACCTAGAGAAACAGCAATTTGATACGGTTCACAATAAAAAAGGCTAAAGCCTCCTATTTATTATGTAATTCATGTTGGGTGTTCCTCCTTTGAAAGCCGTTAACAATCTTCAAAGGCGAATAGGCCTCATTGGCACCTTCTTTGTTTTTGTTTGTTTTATTTTGTGCTGTTGAGTCTGCACTAGTATTTTCACTGGCAGATGATGTTCGAATCATTTTAAAAGTGAGTAGGTTCCGTTTATTTCTTTTTACTTGTGTTTCCGAAGACAGTAAATTCTTGTTGTGAAAAGTAAAGCCTTCTCACCCCATCTCCTCCTCCTATTTCCCAGACACAGGCAAGATTTAAAAATAGCTTGCTACGCACGTCCTTAGAGAAAGCGCTCTACGTATTTGCTTTTCCACCTATGGACGTACGTACGTCAAAGTCACACGTTTTGTTTCTTTATCCTAATTGTATGGTGTTATGTTACATGAATGAATCTTGATTTACAATTTACTTTTCCCCTTTTGATCAAATTTGGACTTAAGGATTTGGATGTTTTGGGTTTGGGTAGCGGGAGTTGGTCCATTTGTGCTGCTTATTCTGTGATCTGTTTATTCATACACTTTGCCAAAAGTGTTTCCATTTTTTAAATTCTTTTTCTCTTTCGTCTTTAGAATATTGTTGTGTGTGTTGTAAATAATTTTTTGCAATTTATTTGTCATCTTAGTTTGATATCTAGACGTGCTGCTATTCTACTGATATGTTGGTCTGTCCCACGCCCATGTCACCCTCTTTCAATTGTCATCCTATTACATTGTATTTTGATAATTTACAGAACAGTCTTCCTCTGTTTTTTCTTCTTTTGTAAAATTACTTTGGCTCTTCACATGCATTTATTCTCCCACATGACCTTTAGATCAGCTCGTCAAAATGAATTTAAAAATTAAATAGGAATACTTCCACTGTGTGTGTCCATTAATTATGATGTTTGCTGTTAGTTCCTGATACAGATGTTTTTATCAATATGTAAATTTCTTTGTACGCCTAGCTTCTTGCAGATTTTTTTATTTGCTCATTTGGTTTCATCAGGAATGGATGTTGAATTTTATTAAGTGATTTGAAGGATCTATGCAGGATGATCATGTGTATTTTGTTCTTTATTCTACTAATATAGTGAGTTGTATTAATAGATTCTCCAATTTTATCTTTGGTTCTTTCTGAATGGCTCTGAGTTTTTCTTTGCATTTAAAAAAGGTAGAAATGAGTAACACAATATCGAAGTTCTCTGAAATGTAGGTGTAAGATACCTGATTATAATTTTGCTCAGTGTCATTGATTCCTATATATCTAAAAATTAACAATTTTTTGAGGCTGTTCTGCCTTATTATTTGTGGATACTTTTGCTGGCATGCATGTGGCCACATTTCAGTCAGATCAGAAATGATTAAAATGATGAATAAAGGGAATTTATTTTTAAATAATTAGATGTAACTATGCTCATTCAAAGGGGTTAGGGTGTCATTTTCTGGGTTTTCCAGAAAATCAATCTTTTTCTGCTAATTGTAGACTTTCCTCTATTTATTTAAATTACCAGAATTACTATGTTCAGTCTGGATCCCTTTAATTTGCTTATAATTGAGCCTGTGTGGGTGTTGAGTTGGAAGCTCTCAGGAGCTGAATAACACAGCTGCCTCTTTGGCCTTTGGCATAGGGTTTTCCCCCAAAGAGCTGCCCCTGTTGGCGGTATGCCAGGGAGCTACATTCAAAGACTTTTTGATGAGACATAAACATCTTTAATATCCAGGCCTGGTGTTTTATGACCCCGTAATACTATCTAAGAATTAGTCTGAATTATTCAAGGGACAGCACTTCAGTATTTTGGCCCATTCCTTGACCTAATCTATAGCCCCATTCAAAGTGAAGTTTAAAATGCTATTTCCCATAAGATTTTTTCCTGAGAGTTTTCTCTTCTGTTTCAAATTGGCCTCCTACTCCCATTTCAGAAGGGTGTTCAGTAACACAGTTAGGGGAAGACAGAGGGCAGTGCAGATGGAAGATGCTGACCAGCTGTCCTACCTCTGTTCAATGAGAGGAAATGAGCTTAAAGTGATGCATGAGGCATTCAGAGGAAATCTTAGGAAGTTCCCTGATAATGAAGATTGCTAACATTCCACATCTCACAGTCTCTTAAAAAGCTGCATGTGTCTTGAATGACTGTCCCTAAAATCAAGACGATAGATAAGTTGGCTAATTCTCTTTCAAGATTGGTGATTCGGCCATTTACTTTTCTGTTAGTTGCTTGCCATAAATTTGTTTTAAGACAGAAATATGTGTAGACACTCACAGTTGAAGTAAATTATAATCAGCTGATTTCTCATATCAACAAAAGGTAAGTATTTCAGCCCAATTTTGAAATTAACCCTTTCATACACATCAGGTTTTCCTCTCAGAGAGCAGTCAGGTATCTCTAGCATCTAATGGAAGACGGGCACCAAAAAAGTATAGTGAGGAACTTTCATACGCATTCTCAGTAATAAGAGAAAAATCCTGAACACTGAATACTTAGAATTTTTATAAAACTGTGTATTCTGATAACTGTGGTGCTGATTTATCAATTAACATATCATGTAATGCCATATAATATATTAACATTTTTCATATAAATTGTTATTTATATCCATGGATCTTCTTAATTGCCCATCAGTTAAGTAATACTTCTGCATATGGTGAAAGCTGGAATGAGTACCACTATTTAAGATATAACTTTGACTTAATTAAAAAAACAGAGACCTGGTTGATAAAGAAGAATGAGCGGTAATGCTAAAACAAAGTGTCTACCACTCAAACAGATGAGGAGGAGTGTGAGGACATAATCAGGCACATACCCTAAGCTTCAGGAAGTCAAAATGAA